ATGATGACCAAGCCTCTGGACTTTTGGAAGATCGTATTGTTCTCAGACGAATCAAGATTCGCACAATTTTCGGACAGTGGAAGGATATGGGTCTGGAGAATGCCTCACCAAGAGTTTTGGCTCAACAGATTGCAGCCAGCGGTGTATGCAACATCCCAAGGAAACAATTACCCAAATTTCTTCTTCCTTGTCCTGCCACCCCAAAAACACTACTTCGCCGCCTTTTGTACAGAAAGAGATCCTGTGCTAATTTGGTAAAGGTCAAATAATGTCTTAAATTTCGCACAAAGAACGACATATATGTTTTCTTTTTCTGAATGTTGGTGGGAGAGAAACTTTTGAATTAAAGGTTGTTATGAAAAGGTGTTTTACGTCAACTGTTTGTCATAGTAACAAAATTAAGATAATAGTGTCTGTATTTTTTGGAGACTAAGAAGGTTAAAACATTATATCATTGAAATGATTCAATTTATTAACTGCATAACATTGAAACTGAAGAATATGGAAAACCTATTACAATAAATATCTGTTAATGAAGTGATTCACTTTGAAATTCACAGATTATTCGAGATTTAAAAGTAGTGCCGTATTATGACTTAATCGTGAAGTAAGTCTACGTAACTAATGTTTTCCGCCAGTAATCTCCTCATTCGTATAGGTAGCGTGTGTATAATGTTTAATGCATTCTTTGGATTGGTACTAGGAAACTACCATTAATGTGTTCCGGAGAAGTCATATTTAGTACAGAAAATCGACGTGTTTATTTTTATGAGTACAATGTCTATCCAATATTTCTTGTAAGGCCTTGGCCATACATTTTGAACGCTGTGCCTTCAGCCCACAATGCAAATCTCAAGTTTTGTTACTTAATATATTGTACATGTATGTATATGAGATCAGTGCCCAAAGGTGAAGAGCACCTACGCTTTAAAGCAGGAACATTAATTAAAGCCGAACGTATTTTTGTGCGAAACTTTTTAAAAAGGGTGTAGGGTATCTTGCAGCAGTGTAACATTTACTATTATAATTTATTTATTTTGTCGACATGTAATAATGAATTATATTGCTTTTTTTCAGGATTCAACTGTAATTTACCTCCAGAATTCATCAATAATATTGACCTAGCAGTCATCAACGAAAACACGCCTGTTGGTAAGTATTTTTACTTTTAAAATAACTGCATATACATGGCTTATTCTCGTATTTATAGTTTAGTATTATACTGTTACGACAGCGAAAGTCACGCAACGCTGGGACCATGCGCGCTGGAGTTTCTCGAAGGATCATGAATTTTCCTGGCAACTCTAGTTTGTTTTAGGCGCCCTCTTTTTTAGTATATAAGCCCGGCAAATAAAGCCAGCGAAAAAGATAGAATTGCATAGATAGATAGATATAGAGATAGATAATTGAGTCAAGTGAACAGTAGGCACCGTAAGTAAAGTGTGTGAGTCGCTGTGAATTATAAAAGTAGTTAAGTTAAAGTGACTGTGGAAATTATGTGTATTACAAAGTTGTATCGAGAAAGAATAAACTAGTTAAGAAAGGACTTGTATAGCCGAAGTTCCTCGGAAAGAATTTATACCGGAAATTAACAAACGAGCAAATATGTAACAATGCGTTTATGTATGTAGCAATAATCAGGGTTGCTGTAAAAAAAAGTTTTAATACTTGTATGCGATAATAACCCGATATTCATCTCATGGAGAGGAGATGGGGCATGTGTATGAACCACTACTGTACATGAAAAAGGCTATTGTTGAAATACTGTCTAACATTTGACAGGAAAAAGTTTTTCTTTTTGAGTCTGGAATCAGTGTGTAATTTTTGATTATATTTTTTATTTTAAAACAGGTAATGTAAAATTGTGAAGAGGATGTTTTTTATTGACAAACATATTTAAATTACAAAACTTAATGAATGCATAACCGATCATTAAGAAATAATCAAGCGCTAGAAACTACTTACTTTATAGATAATGGTTTAACTACTGAAAATACCTTACAAGTTACACAGTATTGGGTTTGGTGTCAAAGAACACATGAGGCTTGTGAGGTTTTGGCTGTATTATGTTGCTCCTACGGCAGTTCTAAAATAAATCATGTTACCTATTTTTTTAGGGAGCTTAGTTTAAGGCTTTTTTTTCTTTTTTCAGAGATTTTTGAATCTGTTTCCTTAAATTTAACAAAATGATATGGCAAGATCTCACATCTGTTAGAAATGTTGCAAAATAATAGTGAAAAGTTAGTATGATTACTAATATTTGTCTCTACCCATCTTTTACATACTGTTACGTCTCCGTTCGTTAGTTAATTTTCCGTAAATTCGTTCCGACGAAACTTTAGTGACGCAAGTCCTTTCTTAAATAAAACTGGTTT